CTGGTGCAGAAGCTTCCATTCTCCTGAAGAAATTGTCAAAAAAATCATCCATAGCAAAAGAATTCCAAAATTTCTCTGATGAAAGCTTATACTAATACAGCAGAGCATATGAAACAGAAATTACCCCTTAAAAATTCATATCTAATTGTTTTACAAGCATTAGATCCAGAGGCTAAAGAGGTAAAACCAGTACAATATTAGCTTTTGAAAAATTATCATCTTTTATGTCCCATATTTTTAGTGATAATGAAAAGTCAAAGTAGAAGCTGAAATAAGGTTATACCAGAGAGTGATATTGATATCACCAAAGAAATGCTCTACACATCTGATGAAAGTGGAAATCAAGTGAAGTGTACAATTGATAAATCTTGGTCTAAAGTTTTAATTTAAAAGATGATTTCACAAATGATTATAAGTATCCTACATTGGCTAAATTGGTCAAAGCCTGCTTAGCTGCTTCCATGGCCCATTAGCGGAAAGAGCATTCAACTTAATGGATACACTTGTCACTGACTATAGAACCTCTCTTAAGATTGATTCCCTAGATGCAGTGCAGACTATTAAATATGATTTAATGGCTTCTAAAGAAACCTCATGTGAAAAATATGGCTCAAAAAATCCAATGACAGATCGAATTCACAAAAATCTCTTACTGAATATGAACAGAAGTTGGAAAACATATCATGAGGACTTAAAAACATGTATTTCAGATGAGTCACCTATAAAAGTCTCTGAAAAAACCTTCTACATTAGCAGAAAAGCAAACTGCTTTCACTCTGCATGTGCATTTCTCGAGGAAATTTCTTCAACGGTAAATGAGGAAAATAAAAGTCAACCTTCCTGCAATTATGAAGTTCACCACCAAAAGAAAGACAAGCCCACAAAACATCAGAAAATAAAAAAAACAGCAAAAAATTAGATAATTTTTTTTAAAGAATTAATTCAGGTAATTTAAAATATTTTACATAAAATGTAGTAGTTTATATGTTTGAAAATTTATGGTTATTAATTTAAAAAAAAAAGTAATTCATTGAACTTTTATAATAGGTTCATCGATACTTCATAATTGTAATTTTTCATTTCTCTCCCCCCCCCTTCTCGAAACTCCAAAATATCGGTAGTAAGTCCGTAAAAGTTTCAGGGGATTTTTTGGGGTCTCACAAACACCCCTGAACACTGATAAAATAGTTCTTTCTAGTTTGGCATAAGATTGCACCAAATTTTCGTTTAATTTAGAAATGCAGACTATCAAATCAACTCGAATATTAATTTAAATTCTATATTTCTAGCAAATGCACAATAGCTGAAATTACCAATATATTTTTGGAAAACCACCAAAATTATAGAAATTACTTTAAAATTCAGAAAAATTATTATTTGATCAGTTCCAGGATCAAAAGATCAAACATTTACAAGGATTAGTTTGACTATAAGCGAAGAATTTATGAAAAAAAATTCAGAGCTAAATATAAATATGTATACCAAATTTTGAAAAAATCCTGAGGCATATTGTATTATTATTCCAAATACATATGAACTTATAATGCCAAGAAAACTGGATCGGTAAAAAAGGGGTTAAAATTTAATTTCCCAAAATAAAATGGTCTTCCAATTAACAAATACAGAAATTAAACTGAATAAAATAATGAAAAAAGTAAACATATAAAACACGTCAAATAATCAAGAATTTACTAAAATGCATCGGGAAGATTTTGGGATGCGAAACTAACAGAACGAGTACTTTCTGCTTTTCATTAGCAGGGAGGTCTTTTTAGGCTTATCCATCACTGAGGGGAGGCGAACATACCGCTCTAGGCAATGGCCCATCTTAACAGCGTTTTGTGAAAGCAAAACAGACCTTTTTGGAAGGAGTTAGACAAAAATACAGCCGTTTTCGAGGCATTTCGTTCTAAAGGATCAGCTCGTGAATGAGTTAACTGAATTTGGTGTTTTATGTTTTTCTAGATCTTTCAATTTTTAATAAAGATATAATGATAATAAAGATTTTATGTGTTTTTGCCTTGCCACGAAGTGAGAACTGAATTAATTGAATGAGAAATATATCTGTAATGAAATTTAAGGAGATAAGTTTGAATGAAATGGAGGAAAAAATGTGTATAATTTAATATTCCATGCAAGGAAGTCGTGGTGTACACATCAGATTTTTAACTATGCTGATATTGGGAAGTTGTTTTTGATCTTTATTTTGGCGTTTTGAAACCAGACTTTTTAGAAAAGTCTTACTTGAGAACTTCTTCAGATTCTGTTCTAATTGTAATATAAACATTTTATTGATTGTTCTTAACAAAACATATAAAAGCAATGGCTAGTTTTTTTTTTTTTTTTTTTTCCGACAACGACAGATGCAATCATTTACTCCTTGCCAAGGATGAATTTCATGTACTTGTTCTGATGTTACTGTCATATAAGTCACAACAACAATGTAATTATAACTTAATTGTCAGTAATGAATGTGCTAATTATGTCTAGATAAAATATGACATTTTGATGATCAAGGTCTTTAAATTTTTTTGAACATGATTTAAATATGTATGTGAAAAATGTATATAATTTAGTTGAATTAAGGTAGCATAGAATTAAAATATTCATTAAATAATTATATAAAGTAAGATATAAATTTAAAAGAGAGTCTCTGCTTTTTCAATTTCATCCATATATGCAAATTTTTGCACACGTGATAAAAATTAAAATACATTAGTAATAAAAATTAACCTATATTGGCAGTTTTCCTACCTCAAATATTTATAAACAATCAAAAAAGTAAATCAAAATCTATTCATTTATTTTTTAAAAGGCAGAATTTTATATAAATAATTAATAAAGTCTATCAGTGGCCATAAAACAATGCTTTCTGTATACTTAATTATATATAAATGAAGTTAGGTTATATGGTTAATACCTATTCTTGCAAGGTGTAGTTGCTTAAACTACAATCATACATTTGTAGATATTAGTGTGTATTCTAGGTACAGAACAAAATCATGCTAAGAGACTGCGAGAGAAACCTGTAGGTCAGCAGCAGTTTTTCCATAGAATTCATTATCAAATAACATTTCTTAAATAATAAACTTGTTCATAACATGCATCTCAGGCAAAAGTGTTTTTTTTTTTTTGGTTTAGGATACTAAATTTTATGTACTTAAATATCTAAAGAAAGAATGTGTGAACTTTTGTTTATTTAATAGCCAATAATAATAAATTTTAATTAATTTGAACTAAAGCTGAAAACAGATGGAAGTTTTGAAATAACATGAAAATTCCTGATTATCTGTGCAATTTAATGAATCAACCATTTTCTGATTATTTCGGGATGTATGGTGATACTTTCAGAAGAGACCTGCAAATTATTAATGGATGAATAGTACCATAAAAATGAATTTCATTGCATTTAAAATGCAAGAGGTACTATTTAAAGTAGAATTTAATTAAAATAGCTTTAAAAATTGTGTAGTAATGAAAAGGTTTGCTATTTCCCCCTTTTTTAAGTAAAATTCTTTAGACAAAATGGAAAGCACTGTGCAGAGCTGTTACTTAAATGTTTTCTATCCATATAGTATTAACTACAAGCATGTTACTACATTCTAATGTTCCCAACATGTCATCATTTGCTAGTGATCATTTGCATCATTTGGAAGTAAGTGAACATTTTATCCTTTTCTGTTAAATATGAGAAGGCAAATTCTCAGCAAAAAGACACTGAATTTGGTACACAAACTGACTTAAAAATCACTTTACTAATAAGAGTTTCAAATGCAAACTAATGGCGGCTATGTTAGGCTTGGTACCACTTAAACAACTTTTAAATTGTTGGTAATTCTACTATTGCATGCAGATTAACCGAAGGCATAAAAACCTTAACTGGAACATAAGAACAACATAATTCAGTTACTTTTAAAGCAAAAAATTCACAATTTACCAGCATATATAAGAAGAAAAAACTTGAGTTCACAGAGTCATATTAACCTTTAATTTCATTCTGGGCTCTTTTTTTCAAATGGCATTTATTATGTCAGAAATATTGAGTTTCCTCTAAAAGTTCTCTGATTTTTTAACCAACCAGATAACTTTATATGGGAAAAATGTGTGGGTAGTTTGCATTTCTTAGGGGCTGAGTATACTTTTAATAATTTGCTAACCCCATTTGACTTCACGTCGTGCAAAAATTCACTTTATATAATTCATATTGCAATTCTTATATTTTACGTTTCATCTGAATATGGAAAATAACACACAGATAAATCACAATTTTGCTCTGCTCATTCACTTACTTTTGTGATATTTGTATTCAGTATTATATGAAGAAACTTAAAAAAAAATATGAAATGAAGCAACATTTGTTGAATATATATAAAATTTTATTTTTTTTCATGGCTTTTTTTATTAACCAATAATTCAGTATAAAGAGTATTATATATTAATGAATTTAATTTATGACTATTGTATATAATAATTATAAATTTTGAAATTGAATCTGTTTCACAGCTTAAGAATTGGTCAAAATTTCTGATATGTAACTAAAATAATAAACTAAACTTCTTAATGCAGTTTTGAATTTCATAAATTTATAGATGTAATTTTAGTTTCATTGTAAAAGAGAATTACTGTATATTTTTTCCTTAAACCTTTCATTGCTCAGTATGACAAAAGCGGTATAAAATTAATTTCATTCAACTACTATAAGATGCCTATGCATGCCCATAAAGTTTGTCCTAACTTTTTATGTTTTAAATAAGAAAAAAAGTTTATTGATTATATGCTATGCAGAATCTGTAAATCTGTGGATTCACATATCATAAGAGTTTAAATTATATAGATGAAATATGTTATGATCTTCGCAGTGAAATGAATTTAATATATACTTCAATGCAGTAAATTCAGTTTTAAAGAATGTTGCTAGATTGAATCTTTGGCATATAAATTTTTGTAAGTGTAATGTATTATAATAATTTGATTTATGATTTAATTTCCTTCCCTTTTAGCATGAATGAAGTGGTTTGGGCTGACCGACCACATGAAGTGCTGACTAACGGCCATCCTGAAATGAGTGGTGGTCAGTCTGTGCGACACATAGCCACGAGGTCTCAAGATGATGCTATGGTTGGCTATTTTTTCCAGCGTCCACAGACTGACCCAGATTTTCAGAATTATACGGGGAAGCAGTCAAGATGGGCACTTGGTGATGATAGTGTATTAGAGGTAAAATAGTTTTTTTATTTTTTGTTATTACAGAAATAAAAGTAAAATTATAAAATTAAATATCAGCATTTAGTGGTGCTTGCATGGTATCATATTAGCAGTTAACTAATTGCTGATTGAGATAGACCATACATTCTTATATTTTGCTGATGGCCTTTTCTTGAGATAAAAAAAGCTATGTTCTATTTTTTTCTTTCATAAAAATGGCTCATATTGTTGATAATTAATTCCTGAGCAGCATTTTGTCCATTGTTTTATAATATAGTATGCTTAAAGTTTGAATCTGAAGCATATGTATTTCAAAAAGAAAATTAACAGCAAAAATATTCTTAAAAATAAGTAAAAAGGTTTTAAGTGTTTTTCAGTTTTCAATTTTTTTTTTTTTTTTTTTAATGTAGTAACAAGGGAAAGAAATATTTGGAAAAATTACGAGTACAATAAAAATATCACTATCCAGCATTTAACTAACCAGACAGCTCACATAACCAGAATATTTTAGAATATTCTTTATAAAAACTATGCAGATGAGAGACTTGTAAAAGTATGTTAAAGCACATACATGATTACTACTCGATATCTCACTTATAACATCTATAATGTACAGTGGATGGACAAAAATATGGAAACACCTTGTGAAATGCATGTTTGAAAAGAAAGATTGATTTAATGAAATATGTAGGTGGCACTGGCGTTTTTAACTACTGACGCCACCTATACAACTTCGTAAATGTGCTAAACAGTTCAGGTGTTGTCGGAGTACTGTTATGTGAGGTTGTCATTGCATTATGTCAGAGTTAACAGATTTCGAATGTGGGCAAATTGTTGGAGCACGTATGGTAGGTTGCTTCCGTAAGCAAGGTAGCCGAGGTGTTTAGTGTTTCAAGAGGTACTGTATCGAAGATTTATTCCGCACATATTGAAAAGCTGAAAAAAAAGAGGAAAACATCATCTGCTAAATCACAGCGCGGACGAAAGTGTGTCCTGAGTGATCGTGACAGACGATTATTAAGGGCAATTGTGAAGAAAATTAAGAAGACCACAGCTGCAAAAGTTTACTGCTGGAAATGAATGTTGTGTTACCGAACCCTGTGAGTACCAAAACAATTAGAAGGGAGCTTCATAAACAGGGAATTGCTGGCCATGCTGCAATTGAGAAGCCACTCATCAGTGATGCTAATGCCCGTAACAGGAAAAGGTGGTGTTTAAGTCTTAATCATAAAGCCTGGACTATAGAGCAGAAGCGAAGTAATAGTATGGTCTGACGATCTTCTTTCACATTGTTTCCCACTTCTGGCCGAGTTGACGTCTGGAGAACGCCATCTCAAGCCTATAATACAGACTGCTTGTTGCCAAGAGTGAAACATGGCAGGGGTTCTGTTACGGTTTGGGCAGCCATATTGTGGTTCTCTTCTAGCCCCATGATAACTGTGTCAGGGCACATGACTGCCAAGACTTATGTGAACATTTTGGCCGATCAAGTTCATCCCATGGTACAAACTTTGTTCCCCGATGGTGATGGTGTCTTCCAAGACGACAAAGCCCCTGTTCACACAGCTCACATTGTCCAGGACTGGTTTTCTGAGCACGAGGATGATGAGTTGTCCCATCTCTCCCCTGGCCACCACAGTCACCAGACCTGAATATTATCGAACTTTTGTGGTCTACATTGGAACGGAAAGTGCATTCTCGTTATCCACCGCCAACATCGTTATCTGAACCTGCCACCGTTTTGCAGGAAGAATGGTATAATATTCCCTTGGCAAACATACAGGAACTGTATTTATCCATTCCGAGAAGACTGCAAGCTGTTTTGGATGCCAACGGGTTTCCTACACCATATTAAGCAAAGAAACATGTTTTTTTTTAAAGGTGTTTCCATATTTTTGTCCAACCCCTGTAAGTACAATTACAGAGCTGTCTTTCAGAAGATGTTATTTACACCTCTTCTGTATTGTTCAAAGAATTCATTCGCCCTTGGAACTGGACACTTGTCATAGACATCCATCCATTGTACCACTTTTGACAATTTTTTTTTTCCTATTGCTAAAGATGGATATAAGTCAACTGCTGTTTATGGTTTTCCCTCGCATTTGAAAAAAAAAAAAAAAATATTAAAATTTAAGACCTATCCTTTGCAGAACAGCATATGGGGAACTGTTTTCAAAGTTACAGAATCCTGGTATCCAGAAACATTAATTGATATTTCACTTTACTTGAAAAGCCATGAACAGTGATGATGAAACATGAAAAATTATGATAAACAGTTATCTGTAGCTTATATCTGTTTAAAAAAAAAGTCTGAACCTTCAAAATTTTGGTGGAATGATTAATGTAACTTTAGGAAATAGCTTTCATGATTAACTAGGATTTCATAATTGGGTAAGTTTTTCATTTATGTGTTTAAGGCCTACAAAAGTCTGCTAGCTTTTGTGTTTGAAATGCATTTCCCCCCTGAAATATTGTATTATTTTAAATGTAGGCTTTTGATAACAATCCAGGTGACTATTTTTATAATTTTTAGAAATTTCTTCTTAATTCATTTGGCTTTTCTACTGGAAATAGCATTTTCTATTTGTTTGACTATCCAGAATTTTCACATAACGGGAATTAAACTTTTCTTATGCGTTCTGGATAGTTGAGTTTTTCTGTATTTCAAGTAAATGGTTTTTACATTTTAAATTTACAGATGGTTGTGTGTTGATGACATAATATAGTATACGTGAGAATAAATTTTGGAATTTGTTTGATGCTTTTATATTTTATTTGAGTAAATGAACAAATTTTTAACCTATGATTTCAGAATTATAAGGCCATGTAAGGTGTGAGTTCATGTCAAATATTAAATACTCTAAGATGTAGAGAAAGAAATGTAATTCTTCTAATGGAAACAGGCGTATGGAATGCATATCATTTGCAGTATCTGACATAACTTAATCAACTGATCAACGTATTTGTCATTAATTTTTTTGCAGGGAAGGTAAGGGCTTAAGATGTTATTCAATTGTACAGGTTTTTTTTAATTCATTCTCTGTTTACCTAATTAAGATATCTAAGTGGAACTATATTTAAGTGTAAAGCCATTGAGATGGGAAAGTGGTTAGTAACTCTGACTGCTGTACAAAGACCCAGGTTCAAATCCCAGAGAAGGCATGGATGTAATTTGTCCACCCCTTTGTGGGAGTCAACAGTGGCCCAGCTTAGATGCGTCCATAAATAAGGAAATTACCTCTTCTGGCTTAAGTAATGGCCAATGCCCATAAATGCCTAGAGCCCATCATTCGAGGGGAAAAAATATTTTAATGTATTTTACTACATCATTATGTGCGATAGTAATTTGCAGTCACTTCTTTTTGTGGGTTATGGCCATTGCTTGCAGCAACAGGCATGAATTGCAGAGTTAATGTTATATGGTCTATTGATATTACAATAAGAAAGATATCAGGGTGCCAAATTTGCTCCAGGAGATTGGAAGCAGATAGGAGTATAAAGATTTTACGTCTACATTTGTACTTCATAATTTATGCAATTTATGGAAGGAAATTAAATCATAAATCAAATTATTATAATACATTACAAAATCAGTGGTTTCATTATTTACAAAATAGAAGTATTATTACAAACTTTAAAAGATAATGTGCTTATATGCGATAAGAAGAAATAAACAAATCTTCGACAATTAATCATAGTTGGAAATTTAATAACATTTTCAACTTTGTGGTCTGTGAAAATCATACATATAGCTTCTTCAGTTGGTGAATTGGATTTCCTTGAAGCTCTTCACAATCAGAAAAATTTATTTTGTGTAGTTAATGACATTAATTTCAATCCTGTGTTTCTCAACACTTTTCTAATATCTGAATTTTTCAGATTTACTATTTGTTTTACTATTTCCCTGGGCAGATGACACTGTTGTCACACTTCCTGTGCTGCAACCTTTGGTATAAATATGGCCATGCCAGAATGTGCAGAATTTTTTATTCTTCAAAGAGGGACCTGCACTTTTTTGTTCTCAAAATTCAGGAGTACATTAAAATTTATGCCAAGCATAAAGTTGTTGTTTTGGAGTACATTAACATTTTTGCCAAGCATACAGTTGTTGTTTTGCCTAATTTTAAAATTTAAAAAAATGTGATGTGTATACCACATGACTTCCTTGTACGGAATATTAAATTATATGCGTTTTTTTTTTTTTTTTTTAACTTATTGGATTGAATTAAACCTACTTTGCCGACAGCGCATAAACAACAATAGAATAAATGCATTCTTTAAAATTCACTTTATTTGTTTACCATAGCGGCACTCTGGCGCTTGGTTCACTTAGCAGTATTATATTTTGTTCATATTATAACTCAGAATGCACAAAATTATATTTGAAGAATTATCTAATCGTTGCACATGTTCTATTCAAATACTATAATAAAGCTAGAACGATGTATAAAAGAAATTAAGCAAACAAAAAAAGAATCAGTTTTTCACAGACAATTTAGTATTTCTCATTCAATTAATTCAGTTTTCATTTCGCAACAAAACAAAAATGCGTAAAAACTCAAAATATCTGTATTAAAAATTAGGAAGTAAATCTTAAACACTTATTTTCTCAAAAAAATTCCAGAAAGGATTAAGCATGATTTAATTTAGAAATAAGAGATTAAACGTTATCTTTGTTAATGCAAAGCATAGTGTTTCTAGATTGGCAACAAATTCACTGTTCTGATAAGTTTCAAATGTAATTCAAATGTAATGTGTAAACAAATATGGCTGCTAAAGTAAAAGTAATAGGCTTAGCCGCTCTTTAACAACTTTTAAATTGTTGATAATTGCGCAACTATTTCATGGAAGTTAACAAAAGGCATAAGAACCTTAACCGGATGATAAGAACAATATAATTCAATCATTCTTAAAGCAAAAAATTACCAATTTACAACATATATAAGAGTAAAGAAACTAAGATCACTGAGCCGGGTAACAGAGTGTATATATATAATATATTTATATACTTT